CCTAAAATGAACATTAATGCTTGTTTTAACTCTTAAATGTAATCTATTAAACTTTAAAGCAACCAAATAAGGTGTTAAAATAAGGTGGAAGGCCTTTGCTGTTTTGTAAATTTGATCACAGAAGTAAAATGCTTAAGTCAATATTAGCTTGTGAGTGACGCTGTACTCAATAGGTGAAACCTCCACTCTGATTGGTCCAGCTACCTGCACTGACAGCCCACAGATATGAACACTTCAGGATGAATTACCAGCAGAAACCTAAAGTAATGAGCGAGTCATTTTTCATGCTGTCACATCCTATAAAGTGATGAATGTTGCAGCTGTTAAGCTAACAATGCAATTATTTATTGCTCTGAAGACGCAAGATTGTAAATTTTAGTTTGTTACTTGTTTAACGGAATACGACTTCACAGAATACAATCACAAAAGTCCAATGTTTCAATACTAATTTAATTTCCTGATAAAGCAGGAGTTAAGTCACAATCTTCTTAACAATAATCTGGTCATTTTTAATCAGTAAATGCCCCCCTGCATGTCTCATCTGAGAAACTGTGTGAGGAAATGGTGTCCTACTGAAGCAAAAAATACAATAAATATGCCAAGGAAATTATTCAGGTCTTTCTTGCTCACCTTTTTTGATGGAATGAATAAAATCTTACCAATTAAGATCAGAGATTCAGAAAAGTCGGATTATTCAGCAGAACCATTTCATAGAGGAAAAGAAACAACAAAACAGTAAAAGCACAAATTTGTCTTTTTGTCGTTCTCATAAACAGCTGACTTTAGAGACAACTATTACAGAGAGACTGAGGATATGTTTGTCTCCACAGAAGTATTTTATAATTAATGCAATGACTCAAGCCTGCCAGAAAAGAGTCAAAGCAGCTGACTCTGAATGTTTTCCTCCAAATAGCAGCAAGTCTGTTCCCAAAACAGCTGACAAACCTTTTTAAAGCTTTGACTCACCTTTTATTCCTTGTGTATCATTGTCAACAGTTTGGACGTTTTTTCACTTATTTTTAGGGAAATCTCAATAAGAATTTCTTAATGTGTCTTTAAATATACAATTTATCTTTTATGGGATTTAAAATGAAAAAAAAAATCATAAAACAAAAAGAGGAACAAAAGGTTGAATCTTACGCACATCCTCTGGGTAACCCCTCGCAACAAGACGCTCCTCTATGGAAAAGATATCATGAAATGAAACTGGTGATAGCTCATCGTCTGGATAGTTGAGAGTCCAAAAGGTCAGTAATAAGGACATCACTGCAAACCAAATTCAGAGATATTTTTGAAGCAAATAACTGGCTGTCAAAAGGAGGCTAATTTACCTCAATCGACAAAAAGAAACATCAGTATGTTTAACCCACATTCAGAAGAAATCTCCCTTCTTATGAAGTTAGCCACAGGAATACTTATTTGTTATGATGAAGGTAAAATTTTAACTTCTTGTATCACTAAGAAGGTTTGACAAAATCAATCAGTAAGACAGACCCATAGAAAGAGACGGCCAAAGCACAAGAAAAGCTTCGACCATGCAAGAGGCCATTCATTAACCACGAGGGTGAACATTGACTCCTCTGTGACTCCTCTGTGGCCAGAGGAAACTATCGGAGAAGATAACCGGAGCAGAGCAGCAGGAGCCTGGCTTTGCTCTCCATCCAGGAAAGTCATACATGCAAATTAGCAGCTACACCAGGACACTGCCTGCTTCACAATCCAAGAACAAGAGGGGGAAAAGCAGTGAAGAAGAGTCCAAAATGAAACTCTACTGATCCAGTTATGCTCAGTTAAAGAAGAGAGTTCACAACAAAGCTGACTTATCCAGCACCTGTAAAAAAAAAAAAAAAAAAAAAAGGGAAGTAGCATATTCTGACAGTTAGTGCATCCTAAAGTGACAAAAATTTATTGGGAGACAGATAGGAATATTTGTGATACATTATATAAGACCTTTAATATACGACATAGTTAGGATATTTTACTCAAACTCCAAAGTGTCATTTAAAAAAAAGCTAAAACAGAGAAGAGGCTTCAAAATTAGTGATGGTGGACATCCACCACACACCAGTCCTCTTTACTCACTCTTGGCCAGATTTAACTATAATTAGAGTTACAGATGTATTTACATTTTGTGGCATACTTGGATATCTAAAAGTGATGAAGGTGACTTGCTAAAGTTAAAACTGAGCATTACATTTGGACCAAAGGATGACTCTGAGCTTGGCATGGCTGTTTGTGCCGAACGGGCACAAAGAATGTTTCAGAAACTGGTCATTTACTGGGATTTTCCAACATAATCACTCAGGTTAACACAGAAACGTCTGAAAAAGCAAACATATCTGGAGACCAGCATAACCAGTTGAGGTCGGGGGACGCTGGGGAAACAGGTTCGATAAGAGAGAAAGGGATCAGTAGCTGAAAAAGCCGCATTTCAATCAAAACAAGTAGAATAACAGAGAAATAGGAGTTTCTCCAGATTAGGAAACTGAGGCAGCCCAATAAAGGTGGAGAAGAATATACTGGAAAAGCATTGTCATTGTTTCAATGGTGGCATTTCTAATCGTAGATCCACAAAACTGAGAAGATTAGTAACAATTTCCATCTTCAGTATTTAAAAATCACACACTGCAGTTAGTCCAGAATACTTTAAACCAGGTCAGCAGTTCACATCTTTCCATGTTCCAGCTTGCCTCAATACGAAAAGAAAAAGAGAAAAAAAACTTGGAAAACGTAACAAAAATAATAATTATTTTGTTATTTTGTTGTTCTGAGTGCTTGTGTTCTGCCAAACATAGAAGTGTTCAAACAGGAAACAGCTGACTTCGCTAAAAGCAGCTCGAAAATCTTACAGATCTGGTGAGACTTGACTCAAAAGTGTTTTCAACATGTGAACTCAAAAAGTTGCATTTGGGATATTTGAGTCATGCAGGAATAAAGTCCAATCAGCTTCCCTAGTGGAGCAGATATCTCTACAAATTCAGTGTCATTGCTCAGAGTAATGACACGGGATATTGATTGTTACTTTTTCACAAAATTAAAGTATAAACATACAACAGATCCAGCACATTCTGGGACACAGTAGCCAAAGTTTCAGTGGATGATTAAAAGTAACATCTGAATCTATATTAGTAGCCAATCAGCAAATCTCATCATCAATGAGTCATGAGTCAGCACTATTGGAGAGCAACTCCACCCTCATCATCAGACATTCAGAGAACTGAACTTGCATGAAGAGACATTGCTCTAAAAACGATCAAAAGTGATTTTTAACAGAGGATTTCCACAGCGGAAGACAGATCCTCGGCTCAGTCGGAGGAAAGTCAGAGGGCTGTAAGCCATGGCGTACAAACGGAGAGTTTAAACAGGTACACTTGATAAACAACTTCAACTCTTGATGGCAACTTAAGATTTACAAAGCAAAATATGAGCTCCACTTGTTCCTGATTTACGGTAAGCCCTACGGTGGCATAAGTAAACACTCACGAGGTCCGTGTGAACAGTAGGCAGCAAAAAGCTGCGGATAAATGAAAGCACGAAGGGCAGGGATCAAAAGAAGAGCGGGAGCAGACTGAGCAGCAGCAACAGGCCTAACGAGTTCCCCAGGTCCACGGGACGGCTGCTCGGCCTGTTTTCAGACACAAAGCTTGAATTCCTGAGCTAATCTCTACAGCAGTGGAAGGTCTGAAGCTCTGAGTTCAAGGGGGAGCCAGATCTCTGTTGGAAAAACTAATGCAGACCATCTGCTGCCGTACCATCTTACAATTCAACATCTGGAAGAGAAGGAAGTAGTGAGCAATGCTGATGTCTGCTGCTCCAGACAGTTATGATGAAAATCTGGCTATTCTTGTTACTTTTCGGTCTACGGGAGTCTGAAGCAAACCGGGGCGAGCATTTCCTGAAACAACCTCTATCCATCAATGCAAATTATATATTTTAATCAAATGATTGTGGGGGAATGAGCTTAGTTTTTCCAGAGTTTGTCGTGTAGAAATAATTCAAGTTGACAATAGCCACAAACGCAGGAATCCATTCACTATTTCTTTATGTACGTTAGTTGTAATCAAAGTGTAAATGTACGTCACGATAATATAGGTCGAGCAGCTTTTTGCTTTTCCTTGGGGCAACCTGACCTCCAGGCTCGACTCGTTGCTTAAGGTGAGGAGATGAAGCGGGTCTCAGTCCAACTTGTGTTTAAAAGACGTTTTTGTGACAAAAACTGTCCTAAAGCTACCTGCAGATGGAGATAAACGGAGTTATTGCCAACCTGTCTTCACAAGTACTACAATTATTATACGGTGTACTTTGTAGCAATTTAGAGCAAAAGCAAAAGTTTTCAGCTCAATCCAGGCAAACTGGATCATGAGAGCGATAGCAGTCTGCATCACACCCAAAGTAAACGTGCTTCTCCGGGTGATAAAGGCTTGTGTAATTGTTGCAAAAACACAGAGATGAGCCTCACTCTGTGCAGGCTGCTCAGTCTAGGTGTGTCTGCTGCAGGGGATGGCATTCAGCAACCAGGAAAAACCTGTCTCTGGGTGATGTGCAGACACACAAGTTGTTTCACATACTGTACACACTCCACCCGACACATGCTGCCCTGGCTGACTAACCGGTTTCCTTAATGTAAGACCTGGTGCACCTGACTGATGCTTCGTGCAGAATAAATATTCCTGGGTGAAAATCAGATGATTAGTCCAGGTTATGGGCTTCCCAGCTGCATTTAGAGGAGACCAGCTAAGAAAAGTGGGTCTGCTGTTGGGGGTGAGGGGTGTGAAAAGCAGCTAAATATTTGTTATTGTGAGATAAATTTATTAAAAAATAAGAAAGAAAAAGTACATGAACTAATAAACAAACATTTGTAGACATTTTTATTTACTGGGATTAACCTCATTTTTTTTTAACAAATAAACTATTATTATGCGTTTGTTTTCCCAGCTCTCCAGCATATATTTGGTCTGTAACTACCAGCTGCTTTAAACAAGTGGCACCAAAACACTCACCATCCTCTAATTTCCCAGCAGCTCCACTCAAGTCCTCTGTCGTATTCCCACAGTCCAGTATTTGTGCGAAACTCGGTGAAGTTCGCAGTCCTTATTAAAAAAAAAAAAAAAAAAAAAAAGCTTTCGTCTAAAATCAGAGAGGAGGAGGCGGAAGAGAGGGGGGGGGGAAAGTCCAGGTTTTCAGAAGTTCTTCCTGAAAAAAGGGGGGGACAGCATGGACACGGTCTCCTCAGCTGCGTCCTCCGTCCATGGTGAAGTCCCGCACTGACAGCCAGCGGCGGAGCGTCGGCTCTGAAACATAACACAGGAAACTGAGCCAGGAGACCCAATCAAAGGGCACACTGCAAGTACTGTGTTTAAATATTCATCAGTTTCTGGGAGCGACTCCACTGGGCATGCGCGGAGCTTCCACCGGTGTTATGCCGAGAAATGCATGCCTGCCGAGAATTGCATCCCCTGTCGCGGGAGCGCGCATCGCTCTAAACTCTCGCATATTGATGAGTAAACGGGCTGAAATCCGACCGAAGAGGAAACTTTTAAAGATATTCGTAACATTATTACGTTTATTAATCATGTAAGCGCTAAAATTGTGGGTTTTATTTCGCAAATTAATTGAAATAAACACTGATTTTTTTCACGTTTATTGAGCCATATTTGTCGAACGTTCTTCAGTGTCTGATGAACAAGTTCTCCGCAGCTGCTTTGAAATTCCAAGATTTTTCTTTTAACATCATAATAGCTTAAAGCTTTACAAAACCGAGGCCCAATCCCAATTACGTAGAACATTTTATATCACGCTTAGCTGTCTAGTGTATTAATGTAGGGGAGATGCATTTTAATTTCTGAGCCTGCTAATATTTGCATCCCCTGTCTATTGTCCTGTTCATATGAAACTTATAGCGGTAACTCAGGGAACAAGTGTCATTATGTAGAAAAAATGTAATTTCCAAGTTAGCAGGGGATGCAATTTTTGGCAATATGGATTTCTAGCTTGCCAAAATTTGCATCCCCCCTGTTTTCATCAAATATGATCCAATTGAGGTGAAACTCATACCAGCAGTTCTTACAACTACTTTGGTCATGTAGGACAAGTTATTTCACTCTTAACTCTTTATTTCTCAGAGTTAGCAGGGGATGCAATTTTTGGCAATATGGATTTTCAGCTTGCCAAAAATTGCATCCCCTCTATTTTTATCAAATATTTTCAGAATGATATTAAACTAATACCAGTAGTTCATAGAACTACTCTGGTTATGTAGAAAAACATATTTCACTCTTAACTCATTATTTTTCAGAGTTAGCAGGGGATGCAATTTTTGGCAATATGAATTTTCAGGTTGCCAAAAATTGCACCCCCTGTTTTCATCAAATATGATCCAATTGAGATGAAACTCATACCAGCAGTTCTTAGAGCTACTCTGGTGATGTAGAAAAAGTTATTTCACTCTCAACTCTGTGTTTCTCCAAGTTAGCAGGGGGATGCATTTTCCGGCAATATGGATTTTGCTCCTGCCAAAATTTGCATGTCCTCTCTATTTTTCTCAAATGTTATGCTAATAACATGGAACTCATAGCAGAAGCTCATACAACTATTCTTCTTATGCAGAAGATGTTATTTCACTCTTAATTTTTTTATTTGTACACGTTAGCAGGGGGATGCGTTTTATGGCACAGCCTATTATCAACCTGCCAAAATATGCTTTCCCTCTCCTTTTTCCTCAAATGTTATCCTATTGATATGAAACTCATACCAGCAATTGAGGGAACAAATGTGATTATATAGAAAAAGCTATTTCACTCATAACTGTTTGTTTTTTTAAGCTTGGGGGGATGCATTTTTTGGCATAGCAAATTATGAGCTGCCGATATTTGCATGCCCTTTTTTTCAGCTCAAAAGTGTCATACAGATTTGAAAGTCACTCTAGTAGCTCAGAGCATACGTGTCATTGTCTAGAACATTTCATATAACACATTACTATCCTAATTCTCCAAATTGCAGGACATGCATTTTCTGACAATTTTCATTTTGAGCACATTCTCAGATGCATTCAATAATATTTGATGAAAGTAGAGGGGATGCAATTTTTGGCAACCTGAAAATTCCACATTGCCGGAAAATGCATCCCCCTGTTAACTTGGAGAAACACAGAGTTGAGAGTGAAATAACTTTTTCTACATCACCAGAGTAGCTCTAAGAACTGCTGGTATGAGTTTCATCTCAATTGGATCATATTTGATGAAAGTAGAGGGGATGCAATTTTTGGCAACCTGAAAATTCCACATTGCCGGAAAATGCATCCCCCTGTTAACTTGGAGAAACACAGAGTTGAGAGTGAAATAACTTTTTCTACATCACCAGAGTAGCTCTAAGAACTGCTGGTATGAGTTTCATCTCAATTGGATCATATTTGATGAAAACAGGGGGGATGCAATTTTTGGCAAGCTGAAAATCCATATTGCCAAAATTGCACCCCCTGCTAACTCTGAAAAATAATGAGTTAAGAGTGAAATATGTTTTTCTACATGACCAGAGTAGTTCTTTGAACTACAGGTATTAGTTTAATATCATTTCAAAAATATTTGATGAAAACAGGGGGATGCAATTTTTGGCAAGCTGAAAATCCATATTGCCAAAAATTGCATCCCCTGCTAACTTGGATAAATAACGAGTTAAGAGTGAAATAACCTTTTCTACATGACCAGAGTAGTTCTATGAACTACTGGAATTAATTTAATATCATTTCGAAAATATTTCATGAAAACAGGGGGGATGCAAATTTTGGCAAGCTAGAAATCCATATTGCCAAAGGTTGCACCCCCTGATAACTCTGAGAAATAAAGAGTTAAGAGTGAAATAACTTGTCCTACATGACCAGAGTAGTTGTAAGAACTGCTGGTATGAGTTTCACCTCAATTGGATCATATTTGATGAAAACAGGGGGGATGCAAATTTTGGCAAGCTAGAAATCCATATTGCCAAAAATTGCATCCCCTGCTAACTTGGAAATTACATTTTTTCTACATAATGACACTTGTTCCCTGAGTTACCACTATAAGTTTCATATGAACAGGACAATAGACAGGGAATGCAAATATTAGCAGGCTCAGAAATTAAAATGCATCTCCCCTACATTAATACACTAGACAGCTAAGCGTAATATAAAATGTTCTACGTAATTGGGATTGGGCCTCGGTTTTGTAAAGTTTTAAGCTATTATGGTGTTAAAAGAAAAATCTTGGAATTTCAAAGCAGCTGCGGAGAACTTGTTCATCAGACACTGAAGAACGTTCGACAAATATGGCTCAATAAACGTGAAAAAATCAGTGTTTATTTCAATTAATTTGCGAAATAAAACCCACAATTTTAGCGCTTACATGATTAATAAACGTAATAATGTTACGAATATCTTTAAAAGTTTCCTCTTCGGTCGGATTTCAGCCCGTTTACTCATCAATATGCGAGAGTTTAGAGCGATGCGCGCTCCCGCGACAGGGGATGCAATTCTCGGCAGGCATGCATTTCTCGGCATAACACCGGCCGCCAGCGTCATTTCCACACGGAATGTTATTGTAGCACCAAAATGTGGTCATTTCATGCAGAACGGGAGAAAGATGCGACTCTTAAAATGCCCCCCCACACACAAATCGAAGCTGTAATGGTCTAGTTGCAACTTATGCTCAGTGATTTTCCTAACTTTACACTGGTAGCAGATTTCCTTCAGTTTGTTTTGTATTTTTAAAGTAGGTGATCAGAGAAACTTAATTATTCTATGAAGCCTGACAAGTGGAATCTGTTAAACATCCTCAAATGTAAACTATTATAAATGGCTTAATCATTACTTTTAATTAGATCTAACTTGAATTCGGATATGTTTTAAAATTTTCCATTGTAAATAAGTTTCCAGTTTAAATATTTAACTGAACAGAGGGTCGACCTGTAGTAAAGGGGACTTTGTGGTTGTGTAAGGGCCCGCTCCTGGTTTAGGCTCCAAGAAAGAGTAAATGAATGGAGATTACAAATTGTTCCAGTCGTTCAAATACCACTGAAAACCTTCAAAGCTGGAATGAATCTGATCTTCATAGTTTGACACAAAATTGCAAAGAACAAAACCAGCACAAAGAAGAGAAAACATTTTGCAAGCTTCATTTATATCATTGCGTACACTTACAATCTCAAGCTTTTCTTTGTTTTAAAGAAATTAAAACAAAGTCCCCTCTGGCCCCCCATTAGGTGATGTAAATACTCTTCTGATGTACTTATGAAATAATTTTTCCGAAACTTTTCTGCAAATCATTAGGATGTTTTCTTTAAAACGTGGTATATATCTAAGTCTAATGTCAGAGTGGTTATGTTGTCAATAAAATGCAGAAATCAGTCTGGTTATCAAGCAAAAAAAATGCCAATGTTTGGCTTCAGAAGTTCTTCATTTTTGTCCGGAAAGATTCCAGTTAAGAATGATCTGTTACAAATGTATGTAAGGGGTTTAATAATGCTATAAATTACCTCTTTACTTATTACAACTCGTAATAAGTATCAGACTGATTCCTGTCTGGACATGAATGCTGCGTGGTGAGTCTATGGGTGTAACCCCTCCAATAGGCAACTTCATGTTTGCATTGCCTACACATAAAGTAATGTGTAGTTTTAGTGGGCTAGTCGTGTTTTTTCATGACTAGTTCTTGTTTCTTTGGGTGTACCAAAATCTCAGAGGACATTTGTGAATGTGCTGTGGTTAAACAGACATCCGTCTTGTTCTAACTGTCAAATACAATGTGAAAAAGTTTAAATGAAGTAAAATCGACATGTTTAGTCATCTGTCAGCAACTTAAAGCAGCAAAAACGTCTGTGAGATGTGCTCTTTTGTCGCCATCTTGTGGATAAATGAGTGTATTACATTAATTTGAAAAAACTAAAATTATTTGTCAAATACCATTCAATTTTTCTCTTGTAAAGTAAAGAATGAATGAATGAAAACAAGATGTATCAAAATAACAACCACTTCTGTGGTAGCACTTTACTCTAGCGATTGCTCGCTCTACAATGATCTGCAGCCGAGCAATGGTCTGGGTCTCCTCTGTCTCTTCCTTGCTGAACTGACCAGGATGCCTAAATGGTGGAATGATGAGTTTGGCTCCAACTTCATGAAGGAGGTCTTGAATGAGGAAGCCTTTATCTCCCATGACTTCATCTCCCAGCTCAAGCAGAGAAAGGATTCCACTGACCTTCGTTATTTCTTTGTTGGAGATGCAGCCTGTGTACAACGCTGAAATAAATGTCACCAACCCACAGGG